GGAGCTGCTGTCTTGGGTGGAGGGACAGGCTACGATGCCCGTCTGCTTGTCAAGGGCCGGGGAAATCAGGAGACTCCAGCAGTTCAAGTGAGTGATCAAGATGTATTGCAAGCTTCGGTTCGCTACAAGAACCTGACCTACTAATGGATCACGGGAAATGACCGGGCGATAAGAAAGGCACTCAAAATGGGCTGAACTTCGATCTCTTGCGAGTGCGCAGGGATTCACGACCGATGACGCCTTTGACGCCTCCCTCTGGCTCAGCCTGGTTATCTCCTACTATAGATGGACGGATGGATGGATGGTAGATAAATCGTAGAAGAGAGAGAGAAATTATAGATGATACATAGAGATAGCTAGATGATAGATTAGACAGATTAGATAGACAGACAGACAGACAGATTGAGATAAATTAGGTGGTAGAGATAGATACTGACGATAGATAGATAGATAGATAGATAGATAGATAGATAGATAGATAGATAGATAGATAGATAGATAGATAGATAGATAGATGATAGATAGATAGATAGATAGATAGATATAAATTAGGTGATAGAGATATAGAAGATAGATAAATTAGATGATAGAGATAGATATAGAAGATAGACAGATAGATATAAATTAGGATAGAGATAGATAGATAGATAGATAGATAGATAGATAGATAGATAGATAGATAGATAGATAGATAGATATAGATATAAAAGGTGATAGAGATAGATATAAACGATAAATAGATAGATAGATAGATATAGATATAAAAGGTGATAGAGATAGATATAAACGATAGATAGATAGATAGATAGATAGATAGATAGATAGATAGATAGATAGATAGATAGATAGATAGATAGATTAGGTGATAGAGATATAGAAGATAGATAAATTAGATGATAGATAGATATAGAAGATAGATAGATAGATAGATATAAATTAGGTGATAGATAGATAGATAGATAGACAGACAGACAGACAGACAGACAGACAGATAGACAGACAGACAGATATAAATTAGGATAGATGATAGATAGATAGATAGATAGATAGATAGATAGATAGATAGATAGATAGATAGATAGATAGATGAAAGATGGATGGTCTAGACAGATGATAGATAGATAGATAGATAGATAGATAGATAGATAGATAGATAGATTAGGTGATAGAGATATAGAAGATAGATAAATTAGATGATAGATAGATATAGAAGATAGATAGATAGATAGATAGATAGATAGATAGATAGATAGATAGATAGATAGATAGATATAAATTAGGTGATAGATAGATAGATAGATAGATAGATAGATAGATAGATAGATAGATAGATAGATAGATAGACAGACAGACAGACAGATAGATATAAATTAGGATAGATAGATAGATAGATAGATAGATAGATAGATAGATAGATAGATAGATAGATAGATAGATAGATAGATAGATAGATAGATAGTTAGATATTAGGTGCCAGGAAAATCAGGAGATTCAGGCAGTTCAAGTGAGTGATCAAGATTTATTGCAAGCTTCAGTTCGCTACAAGAATCTGACCTACTAACGGATCAAGGGAAATGAGCGGGAGATAAGAAAAGCATTCCAAGTGGGCTGAACTTAGATCTCTTGCGGGCGTGCAGGTATTCGTGACCGCTGACGCCTTTGACCCCTCCCGCAGGCCCAGCCCACTCATCTCCTCCAATGTGGCTGACCAGTCCCCTTCTTCTCTCCTCTCCCCCCCCCTTTGGGTTGTAGGTTTCGAACAGAGGATCGTCCTGGTGGGCAAAACCGGCAACGGGAAAAGCGCGACGGGAAACACCATCCTGGGACGCCAAGTCTTTCAGTTTGGGATGTCGCCCAACTCCATCACCTTCACTTGCCAAAGAATGGAGGCGTACCGGCAGGGCAGGAAGGTGGTGGTCGTGGATACGCCCGGCTTCCTCGACACGGGACGTCCCCAGCGAGAAATCTCCGCTGAAGTGAGCAGGTGCGTGAGCTTTTGCACCCCGGGCCCGCACGTCATTCTGCAAGTGATCCGCCCGGGCCGTTTCACCCAGGAGGAGAAGGAGGTGGCTCAGCTGATCAATGAGATCTTCAGCCTCAACGCCAAGAAGTACATGATTCTCTTGTTCACTCGGAAAGATGACCTAGAAGGTAAACCCCTGAAGAAATTCCTCTCCGAGGGAGATGCCTGTCTTCTGGATCAAGTGTCGCAGTGTGGGTACCGCTACCTGGCGTTCAACAACAAGGCCGAAGGGGCAGAACGGGAAGCTCAGGTGGCCCAACTGATGGGCATGATTGACAACCTGGTGCAGCAAAACAGCGCTGCTCCTTGTTACACGGAAGACATGATGAGATCCGACAAACGGCAGCTGGGCGGGCGCTTTTCCTGGTTGTGCCCTTTTTTCTGACGGGCACGCGAAAGTCCGACGGAGCCTCCGCGCCAATTGCAAAACTTCACGGCCTCCTTTCCCCCCCCCCTTCTGTCTTTCGATGACCACCGAAGAACCCGAGATTCGCCATGGAGTCTCCCCGATCCAATTCGTTCTCCTGAGAACCCGGTTCCTCCCTTCGGACGAAAGGACTTCCTCTTCCAATCCCGTCCCCCAATATCAACCGGACCCACAGCTGAATTCTTCGACCAGCCTGGACCCATGCCCCTTTGGGACTTCCTCATCTGCCAATCCTTCGAGGTAGACCAGGCCAAAAAACCACCAACACAAGAAATATTAGACCTGATGGAGAAATTATAGGAGCAGAATCTTGAAAACGTCTCCCGTTTGCTCCGGCTGGCACTGAAGAACATCAAGGCAGGAGAGCCTTGAGGTTCTTCCTCACCCCTTCCTGTTTTCCTGAGGGGAATTCACGTCGTCCTAACAGCTGCCGGATATTTTCCGCAAGGCCGTCTCTGTGGTCCTTTACATACACCAGGGGTGCCCAATTCTCCGGCCGTGGACCAGCACCCAATTCACGGGCCGTAGATTAGCACCAATTCACGGGCCGGGGACCGGGCCGCGGCATGCCAGAAAACGATCCACGCAGAGGCGAAGCTCTGTTGGCGGGATGCAAGAAGCACGCGGAAGCATGCTCCTTTCTGGTCCACGGAAAAACCGCTCTCTATGGTGCCCGAA